GCGGACTTTGTCACATCTCTAAATCTGAACAAACGAGCAGTTGCTTGTAGTAGCGTCCTTGCTCCTAGTAGGAGGGCAAGGAGCCCCTAGTAGCGTCCTTGCTCCTAGTAGCGATGCCCTTTGCTCCTAGTAGCCTAGTAGCGTCCTTTGTTTGTACTGAGTTGAAGATCATACATGTGTTTTCGCCATTCGGCACGTAACACCTGTTTTAGGCCAGTCACCACGCACCTTTTTTGTCGGCAGTCAAAGACGAAGGAGGGGAACAGCACGGCAGCATTGCGCCCGTTTGCACTTACATAGGGCTAGCAGAATCCAAGATGCACAAACAATATCTGAAGACGGCTTTGAAAGGCCCATCGCCCTCAAAACCAGAAGAACAAGTTTGCTTTGGCGTCTCCAGAGACTGCCAACATGTGGACCACTAGAAACACGTATGGGGTTGAAAGAACGCATTGGATTCCTGAAAGTTCATGTTTGACTGTTTATGGGTTGGCCATGATTCTACGCACTCACAGCTTCTTTGAGACGCAGCTCTTGCATGACATCAGAAAGTGCAGGGGTTCAGCTAGGATCATATAAGGAATTTGGTTGCGCGTCCTTGTGTACCCATAGGCTCCACTAAGGGCGGAGGAGAAGGAGCCGCAGGGTTGGAGCTCTGTGGCTCCTACCGTTTCAAACTCTGCTTGGTACAGTGGATCTCTGGAGCCAGGAGACGCCGTTGCCGTTTCAATGCATGGGCAGCGGGAAATCAAACGGAATAAGCAGCAAGCTGGCCAAACATGCATCCAACGCATGTGTGTTTGGTGCACGGCCTTTTTAATTTCAACTTGCGTTGCTGTCCTGGGCTGACTGATAGTAGCCAAAGTTCTTTGAGCTTGTTGCATGAACACAGAACGCACGAGAAGCAAACAGGATGAAACAAGGTGGTAAAATTATGAACAGTTTGGCTATGCAGAATATGAAGCAAGTTTAACGTAGCCGAGTTGCCAGCCAATGTCGCCCAGCGTGGCCCCTTTTGAAGATGTGGACCTTTTACGTGCTATTGTTCGCTGCATCATGTAATGTAACGTAGCGGCAGTATACATGTATACTTTTGGACAATCTTAGAATATCTTAAAGGCTTTGACACCGATTCTGAGGGGAGTATTACATACATACACTGCACAAATGGGCCACTGGCATACTTGTTTAGGATTGAGGATGTGAGGTGATTTGCTGGCTCCTTGCAGCCACTTGCAGAAGGTACAAGACAAATGCAGAAGACGCTGAGAAATGTGCACGAGGCCCCCCCAATAAACTCCGGTGTATTTTTTCTTAGGGGGTCCCAAAATGGAAACCTGGGAAGAGCTTCAAAACCGAAAAGTTGCCTAAGAAAGTTTTGTATAGCATCTATTAAGCTTGTATCAACAAATTGTAAAGCAGCTCCAGATCGAAGGGTCTTCCTTTTCCCTTAATGTCTAATTATACATGTATTTAATTAAGAATAGTGACTGTGTCATTGGGGAAGGGTGCACAGGAGTGTGTAAATGCAGCGTGGCGCCGGGCATGATTGGTGGTAATTTATCAATGCTTGTAGTTTGCAGCAGTTTGAGAAGGCGGCATGTTCAAAAAAAACAGAAGCCATAGTTCATCATTTTCAAGCAGGCGCGTGCCGGAAGGTGTTTCACCTTTCTCTTCCCAGGGTTTACCCGAACAGGAACCACATACAAAGCATCTTCGATGCGATGGGTTCTCGTTTAGTCTCCTTTCGCGAGTGTTGGTCGGGAAGGCAAGGGAACCGGGGATGCTCGAGCACGAGCCGGGAAACGGGGGACACTGTGTAGGTGCGGGAAATGCCAGTGGAGGTGGGGGAAGGAAGGGAACCGGGGATGCGTGAGCACGAGCCGGGAAAAAGAGCGTGGGACAGTCGTTCATTGCTGTGGCCTTCATCATTCCGTCTACTTCTCCTTTTGGAATTGCTCAGGCCGTTTTGCTTTTGGGTTCTCGGTTCTCCGGGTCCACCTTGTTATTTACATGTTCTTATCCATAGGATTCGGTGCACAGACTTGGTGTCTTCAGGTTGGAAAATAGAAGGTCTCCGACATGTAGACATTTCTCTTTTGTGTTGCAGTCGTATTTTGAAAGACACTCGCAAACCTCATCAAAACCTCAATCATCTTGAATCGTTACTTCGATTGTCTACCAGGATCTAATCTACCAGGATTAAAATTTCAGTATATAGTATATAGACTTCACTCAGTTATCTAGTGTTTGGGAACTTGGTGGGTCTTACAAATGTCTTTGTCAAATGTCCGATGTCCAACTGTTCTGGGATGAGTACAATGTGTAAACGGATTTACGTGCAAAGTCCATTTCAACAAGTTTTGAGGAATAGGGTGCCAAATTGAAAGGTCAGTTCCACTGAAGATTAATTTGTTTGATCAAAGTTTATGAAAACAATGACATCAACTTCATAAGTGCGCTAGTAAGTGTGCTCACAGGGTACAACAGTTTCCTCGTCCCTCAGCCAGGCTGGGGCGGACTTTTGCCTTAAGAGAATGGAGAGAGAGAGAGAGTTTGACTCTTGTGAGATTAAGCTGACGGAGGAACGAATTGAAATGCAACCTCTCTCCTCTCCTTTAAGCAAGGGGCAAACACAAAAATATACAAAACGATCAACAAGCATCGAAGAACATCAAACACGAAGAACAACATCAAACAAAACATGTTTGATCTGTTCGTAGCTAAAGACAGTTTGGTTCGGTGGTCCGTCCCAGATCTTTTTGTTCCCATTCGTGCCCTTCTTACTTTGGTGTTCTGGGATGCTTATGATGGATGCTTGATGGAGCAAGCAGAGGTGAACAGAGAGGAGTTGTTGGACTGGACTCATTCAAATGTTGAGTCGGACTTACTCAAATCCCGTGCAAGTTCCGAGGACAAAGCACAGATGTAAGGGAGGAGGGCCACACCCTGTTTGGCAACTTCAGTAGAAAATGAACAACGCCCTTTCCCTTTAGTCTTTTGTGTGTGGGCCAATCGAGGGCAACAGTTAAAGCAAAAATGAACCATTCCAATTCCAGTCCTACACTTTGTTGCCAGCTGGGATCAAAATTGCAAGGGGCATTAGACTCATTAGACACCCTATGGCCCTGTGGTGGACCACCTGAGGGAAAAAATTGGAATATCAAGGAACCAGTCCAACCTTAAACACCAGAGGGCAAGCATAGTGCTTGCACACTGCATGGTCCCAGAGTAGGCTCATGTTCATTCCAGTGCTTGTAGTTGCATTTGCAATTTCTCTTTTTTACAACTTTCAACTAGGAAGCCTCATTGGAACTCATAGTAGGTAGAAGGTCCGGAAAATGAGGTTGCTCATTCGACCGAGTTTTGTTGCCAGATGCATCCTGATGAATGACTGAGGTTGAGCACAGCTTGAGTTGTGTAGGGAGGCTGGGGAGTGGGCTATTCAAGCAGTTCGCACAGTACCGCACAAAATCCAAAATTAACCCAAACCCAAATCATTCCAGCACAATTTCAATGGCAAGAGATGGAGGACAATAAGATGTTGAAAACTTGGTATGATTCAATTTTGCAGTCCACATTTTACGCATATATAGAAGTGATGATTGGTCAAGACTAGTCATATTAACGACACAAGTTGGTGTTCAACTCGATATATAGTTTAAAAAAATGCTTCACGGATGTCAGAGCGATTGACACCGAAGGTGTCAGTCCAATCATCCTTGTACAGAAAGCACCGCGTGTCGTTCATTTGGAGCCGTGGCTCCACTTCCTCTAGGCATTTTGAGGGCCATTGGAGCATTTTTACGAAAAGCCAAGCCAGTATTCCTTCACCTCAGCTCAGGAACCGGGGTAAGAATTCAATATGTTGAGGTCTTGGGATGTTTTGGCCTACAGTACAAAGTATGTTGCATTCAGGATGATGGCTTGTGCGATCTCGTCATCCCTCGTGCCCAACTTGCATAACGAATGTGGAGGATTTCCCTCTTAAGGCACGTGGTAGCAGGAAAATCAGGAGCAATGACCATGTTATCAATTGATCAAGAGTCGAGTCTTTCACAGTTTCATTTGGTTTGTGGAGAATTATGGGTGCTATCTAGCGGCTATTGGGCCTTGATGTGTCAAGCCCCAGGCCCACAGACCCCCATAGTACTAGGAATGGTCCTTGGGCATGTGCACGCATGGCGGGCCCATGCTTTCATGCTTACGAGATTTTGACAACTGCTCTTCATCTATATTACACTGTAAATATACTGATCAAGTGCATCATTGTTTTGCTTGCGCATGGTTTTGGAGCAGTTGCTTAATCAGTTTCAAGGAGACTATCTCTTCAGATACCTTTACAAGTATCCGACGTGTGTGATGCAGTGATGCACCCACAGACACGTGATGGGTGCTGTGCGTTGCACAGCTTTCGCGGCGTGGATGGTTTACTTGACCTGTCTAGAAACTGTTTTCACTGTTCACCACACGTTGTCTTCTTCTGCAACATTGCAGTTGCTCGAGGCTTGTCCATGGTACATGATATAATAGGCACCAACTATCTCAATCCTTCATTTAAGATATTTAAGACAATGTTATAGATCTTGCGTTGGAGCTGGCGACCTTTGATCTTTTGAAAGAGAACCTGAACAAGGCCCCGCATGTGAAGATCGCACCAACACCACGAACGACGTTTGCACAGGTCTTGGAACCTCTGACATGTCCTGGGAGACCTAAGCGTGCTGACTCCCTACTTGTTGGCAAAGTTCGGCATTGCCAACTCCAGCCAACATGATGCGCACATGCATTTGGCGTGTGTGCTTTTCAACTGTCAGGACGATTGCGGTTTGTTGCTTCCACTGAAGCGTTGGACAAATATGTTTTTGTATGTCTCGAGCTCACGATGAGGACAAACTAAATGCCAATCAACCACTTCATTTTATGTGCAATAGTCCTCCTTGCCCATCAGTTTTGCCTCTTGAAAGCCTGAAAAGTTGGAAGTCAAAATGCTTGTTGTGCATTCACTTGCTGCGTTCTGATGCCTCTTTGGGAGCCTGAGTGTTCAGCTCGTGCCGCAGTCGCTCTCCCTGTGCCGCTGGAGAAAGACGGACGCATTTCTTGATGTTGCATTAATGTAGGTGTTATTCTAGTTATATAGTATGTAAATCGCCTCATGACGAAGACAGCAGAACTGCCGTTGAATACGTGAGACTTGCACCGCATGTTGTCCACTCTTGGAAAACTACCCACAATCAGTTGGGCCCACTTAGCATTATCCCTTTTGCATGTATATACAAGTCGTAGAATCAAGGGCACTTTGGGTTTGGCCTTTGCAGCAGCTTTGCTGGTTTCCAGGCAAATAATCCCGATGTACAGATTGCGCTTCAGTGCAATCCGAGGGGTTTTGTTTGCCAACTGCTGCCCATTTGACAGGCTTTCAAGGATTATAGGACATTATAGGTGTGCGACGGGAGAAGCTGTAGCAATTTGGCAGCCGGGATGATGGCAGGAACAGGAGCAAGCAGTGTGTTGAAACAGAATGGGGTAGGACTTTAGTGGATTTTGTGCTTTGACATAATTGCCTTGCTTTGGTTTGGTTTGGAGTGATTTTGGCTATGGTGCTGAAGCGTTCGACAAGTGCTGGCATGTACACCGATCCACGGTGCTTTGATTCAGCTAGAATTGACGCGTTGAAAATAAGAAAAACAAGTTTGGGGAGCATGGCTGTATGGTGGTGTGCATTTGTTTATTTAAAGAAATATGTATGTATGGCATAGTCAGTTTCTACTGGCTCTACTGGCCGGAACAACTGTGGGAGTTTAGCCTGTGTGGCACCCGCATCATCACCGCAACGCTTCTGCAGCTGCTTGCTGGCCTTGAAAACCCCTTCATCAACCAATGCGTTGGACCGGCACTTGGTGCAACAGAGCTTGTGCGCTTTTTGCCACATGCTGTGCCTGCTCAAGCCAAGTACCATCTCCTTGCCATGTCCGTTTGATGCATGTCTTCATCGCCATGCTCAGTTGGTCCCATCTGCTGTGCTTGAGGGGTCCTGAAGTCCGAAGAAGCGGAGTAGTTGTTCTTGAACAAAGGCCTGCTTCGAAGACTCCTGAACCCCATCTGCCTGGGCTGCAGGCAACAAAGGAAAGGGACCCGGGGCGGGGCACTTGGCCTGCACTCTGAAGCCTAAGTGCGCTTGGTCTTGGCCTGCAGATCATTGCAAATAGATCCAGATGCTGTGATTTCCTGTAGCTTTCTGGATGCTGTTTGTATCTTTTTGATTCTTTTTGTGCTATATGAACGTTGGGTGATCGCCGACCATGCTAATCATTCTCATTCGAGCTTCCCCCATAGCTACGGCGCGCTGATGCGCTGTTGACTCTTAAAGTAGGTCTTCAGGCGAATTGCGGAGAAGTAGATGTAGGAGGAAGCTTGGCTGTTCCTCGAGTTTTTGATTTCCATGACTCAGACAAGTCGCACAAGTCGCAGCTGCTGCTGAGGAACCATCGGGATGTGATCTTTGCACCCACGCAGCACCAGATACAGCTTGTAGGAAATGGGGAACACTTGAAGGTAGTGAAGCGCTTGTAGGTGGTTTAGGGATCGGAGCATCTTTCTGCTTTTGCTGCTCCTGTTGCCGCTGCTACCTGGTTGCTGCTGCTGCTGCTCCTGCTGGTTTGCTTCTGCTGCTCTTGCTGCTGTTTTGCTGCTGCTGCTGCTGCTCGCTGGTTGCTCCTGTTGCTGCTGCTGGTTGGTGGTGCTGCTGCTGGTTGTCCCCTTGAAAACCATGGGCTGCGCAGGCCTAAATTGTGTGGCTTTGTTTATCTTTTGTTGTAGGATATAGATTCTAGATCATTCCATGTCATCGTGCTGGTGCTGCTTTTTGCTGCTGCATCGCTGCTGCTTCGCTGTTGCTTTGCTGCTGCTTCGCTGTTGCTTTGCTGCTGCTTTGCCGCTGCTTGGCTGCTGCTTGGCTGCTACTGCTGCTTGGCTGCTGCTGCTGCTGCATTTTGTCCACCCCCATCGCCTCAAGTAGAGGTGCCCCGGCGTGGTTGATAAATGCATGGTGAACACAATTAATTCTCCTTGTTGAAGCGAACGTTGACAGCGTCAACATCGGCATGTCCCCCCTCTGGTCAGGACTCTTGGCTTCAAAACTCGGATCTCTGACTCCATCGTGCAAACTGGAGGAACAGTTTGATCTGGATGAACCACTGCCTGACTTTCCGGAATGTAAAGCCCCACTGTTGAGCTGTGAATCGAATCGCGGCGACTTGGCAAGTAGGAGCTAGTTGTGCGGAGTCATTCGTGCTGTTGGGGTCTGACTGATTCAAATCTTGTGTTATTGGGGTGCTATTTTCACAGTCTTGTTTTTCCATGCACCGAAGTTCCGGCTAAGATGGTGGTGATGATGGTGAGACCTACATTGGCATGGTTTTGACAGATTATGCCCAGCCAGATTTGAAGTCGCCACGACCTTCATATTTGTGCTGGCAAATGCCCGAGGATGCTTGACGAGCAAAGCAAGTTTGGTTTGTTTGTTTCGCAGTAAATGTCACGGTTGATAGTCTGCAAACTCAGTAGAGAAATTCCAAATGCCAAGGACATGTCATCAGGCATTCCAGTTGCGCCCAACCGCTTGCTCCACGAGATCCTGATCTGACTTTTTGAATCTATATTTTTTTCCTATGTTGTTACATTTGCAATATGTAACAGTCCTGCTTTGTCACTTACATTACATCCCACAGTCTCGCAACCATAAACAAAGACTTGCATCGGCTGAGGGCTAAGAAGCACAAGTTCAACGAGTTTGTAAAAGCGATTTGTGCCAAGCCACGCAAATTTCAGAAGGACGGGCGGCTGGACATTGATACAAATCGACATGCAGTTATATATATATATGCCTTGTTGTGCATTCACCTTCAGCCTTCAGCATTCAAATGCTGTAATAAAGTCCAACTTACTGAAGCACATTTTGCGACACGCATGCCTGCACATACATCATAATTATATCATATTATATCAGCATATTTGAGGAATACTTGTGTTATTGAACGAAAAACAGAACATACACATATGAAGAGTTAACAAGTCCGTCGTACGTGTCCGTGCACGGGTTTGTCAAAGGAGTGGATTCTAGTGCGGGTGGGGACGCTTGCATATGGTGTGGTCAGGTGTTTGGGGGCAGTTGGTATCGCTGTTTCTTCGTGAAGAGAATCGCAGGATTCAGAGTGCCCTGTCAGGGCCGTGGACGTTGGTCCAGAAAACATGTGTGGCGGAGTCTAGGGGATTGAGTTATATAACGATTCAGTAGATGAGGTTTGAACGAGAACAATGATAGATGGAATCCCTGGTGCGAACTGGTAAGGAATGCAGCCTTCGCAACCTGAGACCTGAGTCATCCTTTGTTGTCAGGATGTCGAGCAATACCGGAAGGCCTCTTGGAGGGCCAGAGACAGTCAGACCTTTTTTTGTGTGTGTTTTCGTCCTATTTTTTGTGGGGTGGCATGTGCCTTTAATAGACCTTTCATATCGATTCATAAGGATTTCTTGCATGCTAGTCCTTCAGAAGAAGGTCTTCGATGTGTCATGGAAGGCTGCCATTGGTTACAAAACCTTGTTATTTTCTTAATGACATGTTAAGAGGGGCTCGAGGGTTCAATCAAGGGTGTTTTCAAGAATTCTTCTGTGGGGGAGATGTGGCTAGACAGGAGCGGCAACGGTGCGTTTCTATTAAAGCAAGATTCAAGATTCGAAGGGACACGCGGCTACATGTTTTGTACTTACGACAATTGAATAGCTTCGGAACTTACCAGCTACTGCTGCCCCGTTTTCACTGCCTACCTTAAACCAAAAGAGCTACAGTTGCCTGGTGGATTGCTTTTCTTGCGCTTTCGCTGAGTTTCGCGAGGTCATGTATGTCCAAGAAGGGCCAGGTCGTCAGATCTCAGCACCTTAAAGGACGCGCGATTTAGTGGTGCCCCCTCTATCTCTCTCAATCAGCACATCAGGTAGTGAGATACTATACGCATTTGTACGCAAAACCTCTTCTAGCGGCCTACCCCCCCCAGGGGCAACAAAAAAAAGACAGAGGGCATCACTGTACAACCGGACTTCGCTGGGCTGCCGGACTTCATTGCCCCACTTTCATGACAGGCTTCTCCGGGCAATCAATTGCTCCGTGGTTTTTAGGCCTTTCTGTGCCGTTCTCCATTTAGGGAAGACAAGGGCAAAAAGATAGGAAGCGCGCGGTTGTTGCTTCGCATGGTCTTCACCACTTGCTGGTTATGAACTCCATCAAACAACAAGCTTTCAACCCCTTTTGTGCTTCATTGTGGTTTTACGTTTGTTGCCCATTCCTGACGGAAGCCACCCGCGTGGTGGCCCCCCACTCGCTTGACAATTCAGCGGCCCATATTTGGCAACAGTTGATGGTAAGTTGTCACAGGATGTTCATTTCACCGTGGAAGGTGTAGTGTAGTTCTTGGTTTCAGAAGTGGGAAGTGAATCCGATCAGTCTCCAGGAATCGCGGGGGTGTGTTTCCGCAAGGGCCTCGTAGCCTCGTAAGTGCGAAAACATACTTTCCTGCGGTCTCGATTTAAGGCTGCCGGACAAACGTTGGCTGGCGCCAGTCTTGGCAGTCTTTGAGGAATGAGGTTTGGTGACGTCCATGTGTTTGTTCGATGAGTCTTTTGTGACACACAAATGAGATGTGCCAATAGCAGCAAGTTCATGAAACCACGTGGTGAACCTCCGTTCAACCTCAAGGGCTGCTTTTGGTATGAATTGAAGATACACGCCCACAACAGATTCTGATTTCTTACGATTTACGATCCACACTTGTGCACATTCTGATCTGGATGCTGAAATGGTAGGTAGTGCCATACATTTGTGAACCTGGTAAAACACAAGTTAAACATGATAAACTCCACTCGGGTCAAACCGTATTGCGACATATGCTCCTTCACTGCCGGCACGACTTCTGGGACATTGGCATCATTTACAGTACTATATGATGACGACTGTTTACTTCTGCTTGTTTTTCTCGAATGCGTAGCGAAGGGTTCCCGTTTATAGTTGGGGGTCTGGGGGTTGGAGCTGTGTTTGCATGGCTTGCGTCGTGTCGTCGCCTCTCGTCGTTTGTCGTCGTCGTCGCGTCTCAAATTTGCTGCCATTGGGGGAAGCTTTTGCAAGTGACTGTGCATGGATGCGTCATATGTGAGTTTGCGCCGCTATTCCATTGTGATTTGCGTGACAATGACATGTCGCGCAAGAAACGTGATGCATTTCGCTGCACAGGCGCAGCGTTTTATGAGATCCGCGTGGATGGGAGTGTGCTCAGAACGGGTCGAAATCATTCCAAACGTGTGGTGTGGTGCAAATTTTGTTGAAGCTCACATGAGATGATATTGTCACTTTTCGTGGCAGGCGCAGGACTTTGTGCGGGTTTTGAGGCGTGGAAGTGCGATTCTCGTGGCAGGCGCAGGGAATCGTGAGGTTGCGAGGTGTGACATTTCGTGGCAGGCGCAGTACTTTGTGCGCGTTACACGTGCGGACGCGGAAAGATTCGTGGCAGGTGCAGGGAATCGTGAGGTTGTGAGTCGTGGTAGAGGTGAATGTCGCTGTCACATTGGGATTGGCGTGTGAGCGGATGTTGTTTGGAGGGGCTGGAATCGCGAAACTGCTTGGCAGGGCTGCGTGATGTGTCTGCTCCGATGGGTGTTTCCGCTTGACTTTTGGAGGAAGTCTCGTACGAAACGCTCGTTTTGCAGACTTTGACGTGTGAGTTTTTGAGGAAGTCTCGTACGAAACGCTCGCTTTGGAGACTTGACTCGCAACCCTCTGCGAAGATCGTGTGTGTCGAGTGTGCGAAATGCAGGCGAGAGTGCGATTTGTCCCATGCGCGCGCAACCCTCTGCGGAGATCGTGCGTGTCGAGTGCGCGAGATGCAGGCGAGAGTGCGATTTGTCCCATGCGCGCGCAACCTTCTGCGGAGATCATCCGTGTCGAGTGCGCGAAATGCAGGCGAGAGTGCGATTTGGCCGGTGCCCGCGCAACCCTCTGCGGAGATCGTGCGCGTCGAGCGCGCGAAATGCAGGCGAGAGTGTGATTTGTCCGGTGCCTGCGCAACACTCTGCGGAGATCGTGCGTGTCGAGCGCGCGAAATGCATGCGAGCACTGGCGACTTTGTAGTACAACTTTAGTCTGCGGAGTATCTGAGGAGCTGGAAGATGAGAACTGGTGACTTTGTGGTACAACTTTAGTACGCGGAGTATCTGGGGAGCTGGAAGAGTGTCCCACAAAATTGTCCCACAAGAGTGTCCCACAACAGTGTCGCTCAAGAGTGTCTCACAAGAGTGTCCCTTAAGAGTGTCCGACAAGAGTGTCCTACAAGAGTGTCCAAGAGTGTCCCACAAGAGTGTCCCACAAGAGTGTCCCTTAAGAGTGTCCTACAAGAGTGTCGTGCAAGACTGTCCCACAAGAGTGTCCTGCAAGTGACCCATGCGAGTGTCCTACAAGAGTGTCTCACAAGAGTGTCCCACAAGAGTGTCCTACAAGAGTGTCCCACAAGAGTGTCCCACAAGAGTGTCCCGCAACAGTGTCGCTCAAGAGTGTCTCACAAGAGTGTCCCTTAAGAGTGTCCTACAAGAGTGTCGTGTAAGAGTGTCCCACAAGAGTGTCCTACAAGAGTGTCCCACAAGAGTGTCCCACAGGAGTGTCCTACAAGAGTGTCCCACAAGAGTTTCCAACAAGAGTGTCCCACAAGAGTTTCCAACAAGAGTGTCCCACAAGAGTGTCCTACAAGAGTGTTTCACGAGAGTGTCCCACAAGAGTGAAGAGTGTCCTATAAGAGTGTCCCACAAGAGTGTCCCGCAACAGTGTCCCACTAGAGTGTCTCACAAGAGTGTCCCTTAAGAGTGTCCTATAAGAGTATCCCACAAGAGTGTCCTACAAGTGTCCCACAAGAGTGTCCGACAGAGTGTCCCACAAGAGTGTCCCACAAGAGCGTCCCACAAGAGTGTCCTACAAGAGTGTCCTACAAGAGTGTCCCACAAGAGGGTCCCACAAGAGTGTCCCACAAGAGTGTCCTACAAGACTGTCCCACAAGAGTGTCCTACAAGAGTGTCCCACAAGAGTGTCCCACAAAAATGTCCCACAAGAGTGTCCCGCAACAGTGTCGCTCAAGAGTGTCTCACAAGAGTGTCCCTTAAGAGTGTCCGACATGAGTATCCCACAAGAGTGTCCTACAAGAGTGTCCCACAAGAGTTTCCTACAAGAGTGTCCCACAAGAGTGTCCTGCAAGTGACCCACAAGAGCGTCCCACAAGAGTGTCTCACAAGAGTGTCCCGCAAGAGTGTCCTACAAGATCCTACCAGAGCGCCCCATAAGAGTGTCCCCCAAGAGTGTCCCAAAAGAGTGTCCCACAAGAGTGTCCTATAAGTAAGAGTGTCCCACAAGAGTGTCCTACAAGACTGTCCCACAAGAGTGTCCCACAAGAGTGTCCTATAAGAGTGTCCCACAAGAGTGTCCTACAAGAGTGTCCCACAAGAGTTTCCTACAAGAGTGTCCCACAAGAGTGTCCTACAAGAGTGTCGTGTAAGAGTGTCCCACAAGAGTGTCCTACAAGTGTCCCACAAGAGTGTCCTACAAGAGTGTCCCACAAGAGTGTCCCACAAAAATGTCCCACAAGAGTGTCCCGCAACAGTGTCGCTCAAGAGTGTCTCACAAGAGTGGCCCTTAAGAGTGTCCGACAAGAGTATCCCACAAGAGTGTCCGACAAGAGTGTCCCACAAGAGTTTCCTACAAGAGTGTCCCACAAGAGTGTCCTGCAAGTGACCCACAAGAGTGTCCCACAAGAGTGTCTCACAAGAGTGTCCCACAGGAGTGTCCTACAAGAGCGTCACATAAGAGTGTCCTACAAGAGTGTCCCACAAGAGTGTCCCACAAGAGTGTCCCACAAGAGTGTCCTATAAGAGTGTCCCACAAGAGTGTCCTACAAGAGTGTCCCACAAGAGTGTCCCACAAGAGTGTCCTATAAGAGTGTCCCACAAGAGTGTCCTACAAGAGTGTCCCACAAGAGTTTCCTACAAGAGTGACCCACAAGAGTGTCCTACAAGAGTGTCCTACAAGAGTGTCCCAGAAGAGTGTCCCACAAGAGTGTCCTACAAGAGTGTCATTTGGACATACGTAGTTTTTCGAACGTGTTTCCATTCGGGTTCGTGGGTTCCATCTTGTTTTTCCGGCTGTATTGTTCGTTGTCATCAGTGCAACAGTGGTTTTACACGGGTTCTTCTAGTCAGCTGAATTTTTGGATGTCTAAGCCAGTGTTAGCACCAAAAACGAAGAGAAAAAGTTTGCTTCGTGAGACATCCCGACATGTTTTGCAGGAAAGCAATTTTCTGGCGAAGACCAACGTTATACAGTTTAAAGTATATTATAGACTGATTACAATTTTGAATGCTCGCCACTGGTTTATAACTTTATACTCCCAGTTGAATGGCCATAGGTTTGTACACAGAGTGTGGGAGTATGGTGAAGGTTGGCATCCCTGCTGCTGTTTTTGCACCAAGACAGATCAAGTAACATTCTCGTCAAGTCATCCAGCAAGAAGGGATCAGAGTGATTTAGAGAATTCTGCTTTTGTGGCGGGGCAGTATACAGACTGCCTTTCCAGCTGTGCTGCATTTTTCTTCTCAGGCAGGCACATTGTTTCATGTTTGTTCGTGACGCATGCCTCAGACACTTCATTTCTGTAGCTGTTGGTTTTGGCCTCAGCGCCACTGAGCTGGCCTGAGCACGCAGCTTTTTCTGAGTGTAAGGCACAACCAGATGCAAGTTCTGAAGTGCTTTAAGTGGCATTGGCTTCTTTAAATGCCCTACTCTTCCTTGTTGCGATGCAATGAGCCAATGTGTGATTCTATTCCAGCACTTGATGCAGTCCTCCTTCCTGATCAACAATTCCGCGTTGTCCTGACATTTGAGACCCCGTACGATCACAGAGG